TTTTTTTTTTTTTTTTTTCGAGTGGAAGGAAGAGGTGAAAGAGAGAGAGAGAAACATCTATCGGTTGCCTCCCCGAAGGGACCAGACCAGGGAGGGAACCCACAACCTAGTAAGTGCCCTGGCTGGGAATTGAACCTGCAGCCTTCTGGTGCATGGGATAATGCTCCAACCAACTAAGCCACCCCGGCTGGGGCAACATTTTGATTCTTATAATAATAAATCACTAGTTTAGCCCCTACAGTCATGGCTTGACATTTTTGCTGAACCAGAAAAGATTGCTATATACACAGTATATGAAATTTATACAAGAAAAACTTATAAATCTATTTGTCTCATTAGGGTGGATTTGAAAACCAACAAATTATAGGTACAACACAATTCAAAAGCAAATGTTAAGTATGCTTCATAATTATTAGAAAATATTCAGTATGTGCATACTGCATCACCATAGAGTTGTTATATTATTTCAGCAATACGCAATCTAATGGAATTGTTTTCATATAATTTTCTAAGAATGGAGGCATTTCTATAGCATCCATAACTTTGTTTTATGTTCAAACACTGTGTCTATTACTGGTTTTTATTAATTCTGGACTTTTTTTTTTTTTTTTGGTATTAATGCTGTTCTGAGCACCAACAATACTAGGTTATTTTACTAACATAGGAGGTGAGGCCACTGGATTTGTCTGTTGGTGGAGAGAGGTGCTAAGTTTAGGGACTGTCCACTCGGTAGGAGGATGAGTGCTAAGCCTGCAACCTAAATTTAAGGAACATTGAAAATACCTGCAGCCACTGAAATTCTCACCATTAATTTCTCTCCAAACCACCTGCAGAAGTATGCATATTAATTGGCTTTGGGCATTCTGTTACCTAGGAGGAGTAACACATTAGATAGCTAAAATTAGAAGGGAGGCCCCCCCAACAAAAGATGAAAATACGAAGCTTGGTGAGTCAATGTAGGTGGAGTGTTGCAGCAGGACACCCTGACTGCCAGGTGGGAGGGGTCCTTAATCTCTGGGAGATGTGAGTGGCAAAAAGTGCTTGAGGCATATTACTGAAAAACCAGGCTATTTCATACTTAGTCTAGATCTGAGTGTGCAGGGTGAGGGTTGGGGTTACTCACCATTCACACTGCCACACATTTTTATAGCATGCTTTTCATTTTCTGATTTGAATACATCAGTGATCAGGGCGATGTGTGAGGGGGAGACGGAGGAAGCCAGCAGGAAAATTGGAAGGCAGTTGGCTTTCATCTGTTTTGTTCAAGCTTAAGGGGGGAAATCTCCTCAGCCTTTTTAAAAAAATATAATAATGAAAATGTTAATAACCAAAATAATAACAACCACAAGTTACAGAGAGCTTGCTTTCCGCTAGATACTGTGTTTTATGTACATTATTTCATTTAATGTCCCCCGCTCGTGCTTCCCCCATGCTCCCCAAAGAGTAAAAATCTCCTCCAGAACTGCTAGTTCACCCTCTCACAGCAGCACCATAAAGGGATTCCACTTTATTTGCAATTCCAGATTTACAAAGTCTCCTTCACCCTTGACCTTGTTGGAGCTTTGAGATGCTGAACAGGATGTCCCTTGTCTCCTTGCCCAAGGCCAGGCTCAGAGCAAGGAGAGTGTGCTGGTTGGCCAGGCAGCCCTGGACACTTAAAATAGGAGGAGGAAGAGCCCCAGGGCATCTCTACTGATAGAACTACAAAGTTGAGACCTGCAGGTACCGGAGCCCCACCTTCCTGTTTTGGCTCCCACCCACTTCTTGGGTTCAGAGCCCCCACTCACCTGATTGCACAGTGCCTGGGCAGGAGAATGGCTTTCCTGCCTCAAGGCCCTGCCAATCCTAACGGCCTGAAATCCCGGGGAACACTATTCACTGTTCGGAGGATAATGTGGTAACAAGGCAGATCTATCCTGGAGGCCTTCCAAGAAGCCTGGTGCCAAGAGGAAGGCCTGAGAAAAATAGGGAGGGAAGTAGGAACCCCAAATATTGTTAGTGGTTCACTATAGAGACTTTGTTGCTTTTCAGGAGAACCTGATCTCCCTTACCTGGTGCACAGAGACTCAGACTCACTGTCTGTCCTTTAAGCAAAGAGATGCTGCAATTTTATTCCTTTCAACAAGCTACTGATGAAAAGGAACCAGCCACTAACACTCAGGGCACTTTACTTTTTAAGAACTCCCCTTTTTTTTCTTCTTTCCTTCCTCTATATCTTTTCTCCTAAACTTTGCTTTTGTCGGTGGTATTTAGATAAGCTGTTTTCTCTCCTCTGGGTCTGATCTAATTGGCCTGCTGTTCTAGTGACACTGGGCATTATTGGGAAGATGAATGGGACTGGGGTCAGAGTTCAGCAAGAAGGCATCTGCGCACTTGCATTGCATAGAAGCGCTCAGAGGTGATTTCTGATAAAAGCTTGGAAAAGATTTGCATAGGGTAAGCTGCCTTCTATCCCTCCAAAGCTGGGTGACCAAAAGGTAGTCCTTTTCTGGAGGGATCAAAAATGATTAAACAGGAGGTAGGCATATTTTTACAGGGAGTTCCCTGCTTGGGATGATTTCTGCAGGAGAGAAAAGGGGGTGG